CCCCCCCCCCCCCCCTCCAGGGACCCTGAGGCAGTTGAAGGCCCAGGGTTTACAGTTAAGCGTCTGCCGATGTCGATTTGCCCAAGCCTTCCGAGCAGACAAGCGGATGGGGAAGTTGGCTAGTGGCAGCGCAAGGCTAGCACTTGAACGTATAAGTCAGGGTGACAAACGCTTCGTGTTGTGCTCGAGTGGAAAAACAGTTGGAGTGCAGCTTGAAGCCATATCTGCACCCAATGCAAACCGGCACCTCCTGCGTGAGGTTCATGGTGCTCATTAACCAATTATACATGTACTTACAACTGTACTTCTAACCATAATAGGGCACTCAAAGGGCTTACAAGCATGTTATAAGTACAGTTATAAGTACAGTTGCAAGTACAGTTATACTTGGTTAATAAGTACCCCAAGTAGACCTATGGCCTCCCCTAGGCCGAGCACCTTTCTTTGCCGAGCATCATTGTGGCAGCGGAGGAAGAAACCAGCCGCATGGTCGCCCGGCAAGTAACTCTGAATATCATCCCATATGGGGGTTTCCGAAACTAGGGGGTGCCCTGTTGGGGGTCCTTATTATCAGGGGATCCTATTAGTTGCGGTCTATATTAGCGGTGCCTTATTGTCGGAAACCCTCATATGATCCCCTGACATTTAGGGCTCAGGGTTTATACGTGAAACCCGAACATCCATTCCGATGAAATCGGCCCCCTGTACAAGATTTCTAGGTGTGGCTGAGGTTCCGTGGGCTTTGGCTGGGGCGGCATGATGGGTTACGGGTTGAAGGTCTAGGGTGAAGACCGAAAAGCTTATTCGCGCCTCGAAGGGGGGATCTGCCTCTCGACTGTTGAACGAACCTTACACACCGTGGTCCAGCGCAATCACCCACGACCTTATTGCTTGAAAATCCAGGGATTCACCCGTGTTCAGACGCCCCCAGGAGGCGTTGCCGGCGCAGCATTCTTGGGTGCGATTCGGACATGAGACCACCGTTGAAACTGTGATGCGAAGCCCCAAACCAA